ATACTGCTGTTTGTTCATATTTGATGCTGTTCTTCCATGCGTATACTTGGCCACACATTACTCGCCTGCATCAAACTTCGTATAGCTGGACAGGCGTGGGGCACAAAACGAATTCCTATCATAATCCAGGTTTAAGTCCCTGATAATGGTGAAATGTTTCCACAGTAATTACTGTCTCCCGAGACTGATACAGTGAAGACCATTAACCCTGTTTGGTTTGATAAAAATTCAACACTATTAGGGCTTTTTTCTATCGAAAAAAGGGGGGCGGGTACTCATCATAAAGTCTAAAAGAAGGTTCCGTTACTCATTGCGAATTGTCTATTACAGAAGCGCTGACAAAAAGGATGCCTAAAAAGGGTGCCAGTACTGTATACCGTCAGAAAAATTCCTCATAGAAACCATAGCAATACCCCAGACTCCCATGTTTTGTTTGTGTCTCTACATTATTAGGTTTCTTGGAAGTTGTGATTGTGTGAATTCTATAAGGGAAGCAGAGTGATCAACCATCTCCATCCCCATGTGGGAGGAATTTTTCGTTATTTTGAAGCTCCAATTGGTTGTTCTGCCGGGGGCCCTAATATAACTTAACGGGTGAACGGGGTTTCTAGGACCTCTCCGCGGTTGATCCTCAAATGAATGGGGGAATTTTGTGTCACCGGGTGTTTATCTCTCAGTGTGATGTCCTGGTGGGGTTAAGAAGACAGTTATGAAAACCTGTCTACGTCACTCGCCGGTCATCCAAGAAACAGATTTCCTACCGAGGGTCTGGCGCTGGCCAACGTTGGTTGCATCCACGTTTGACTGACTTCAACAGAGATACCACAATAGCAGATAAGTTATGGGGGGAAAAGCACAGAGGACAGCAACCAATGGCAGAGACCCTGTGTCGCGTGCGGATGTGCACTAAAACGCACCAGTACTGAATGGGCAAATAGGACGTCAAAACAATACATAACGCCGTGAAGGTATTGTTGTCAAAGACAGTTGATGTTTGCAGTCCAAAGGAGACGGACGTGTGGATCCCTGAGGACGCTTTACCCCGGGATTCCACGGAAACAGACGTTGTATACAGTTGGATCCTTGAGGACGTTTTACCCCGGGACTCCACTATAAAACTCAGCAGAAAGCTGGTATATTGTCACAGTTCGGCAGTAGACCTGATATGGCAGAGAACTGATGCTGATAAAGGAAAAACCCTTCTGGCGCGCTACTTGGAGCAAACTGACCAAAAAGACGAAGCTACAAGAATAGGGGTTAAGATGAAACTGTCGATGCTGTGCGAGAACACTGTGTTAGGCACTGATCTCACAATCACTGCAGATACCTTAAGAACTTGCCTCAAGAAATCGCGCAGCACTGCTCCAGGCCCTGACGGCATCCGATACAACGACATGCTGATGATGTCGAATGCTGATTTGAAAAGCGTGGCAAAGGAATTCAATATCAGCATCCAGAGTGGCCAGATACAAGAGGAATGGCTCCATAGTTATTTGTTCCCACTACCAAAGCCTAATAAAGACCACTCAAAGATCTGCGGCTACAGAATCATCTCGATGCAGAATACTGTTGGCAAACTTTTGGAAAAAATTGTCGCACAAAGATTGACCACCTACTTGGAACTATGTGCAGTTTTCGCCTACGATGTGTACGAGGGATTTCAGATTAAAGAAGAGACATGTGCGGCAGTGTTGGACTTAGAAGATGCCTACAATAAAGTACCATACGATTATTTAATGCAATTACTGCTTAAACTAGAAGTTAATCCTATTCTGATCCGCTGGATTGCTGCGGTCCTGTTCCAGAGAAAGATTGTACTAAGATGTGGTAGCTGGTCCTCTGAACCGCAAATGATATGTCCAGGCTTGCCACAGGGATCACCGCTATCACCAGTCTTATTCAACGTTTACACGGTGATGATCACTGAGCAGCAGTTGAATGGAAAGGGAAGGACTTTGTCATTTGCTGATGACATTTTGATTTATCGACGAGGGCGTGATAGACAGGAGATCGCCAGCACTATGCACAAAGAACTCGATCGAATTGCCGCCTGGTGTGATGGTTCCAATGCCTATGTCAATCCTTCGAAGGCATCAGTGTCATGGTTCTCTTTGAACAATCACATTGTCAAGTCGGACTTACCAGAAGTAAAAATGCGTGATAATGCATTGATCAGAACCAACGTTATGACGTTTTTTGGGGTGAGGTTCGATCGCAGCTTGTCATTCAGGGAACACGTTGACCATGTGATAACAAAAGCACGCAAAGGTCTATCTGCAATGAGGATTATGGCTGCTTCCAATATTGAGCAAAGTCTACTAATACTTCTATTCTACGGTCTGGTCCTTTCCCCCATAGAATACGCTCTGGCCATCCTCACTGTCAGTGCTACCCAGATTGAACGACTCGAAAAGGTGCAAAATGAAGCCATGCGCATTATTTTGGGATGTACTAGAGACACATCCTGTGGAGCAATGAGGTATCTACTTGACTTTCCAACAATGAACCAAAAGGATCAGGATGTGGAGGGCTCGGGCATATCTCAAAATATGCGCTGATAAGAAACACCCACTGCATCAAGCGCTTTTTAGTGAAAAGGGCGACAGACTGAAGAGGGGGAAATCGTGGCTAGGTCGGGCAGAAGATGTCATTAGGCAAATATGCAGCCTAACCGACATCATACCTGGTGCAGAATGGATACCTGTGCCTCAGGCGTTTATTTGTACATTTTCCTGTATTGTCACACTCAACAGGCGATGTAGAGAAGAGAATCCTGTTGCTGTTAATGCAGAGGTCAACGCTCTCATCGGTGAAAATTCAGACGAAGCAGATGCAATAATCTATACAGACGGATCCGTTATACGCCAAAGAAGAAGCGCATGGGCATTTACAGCACGCTCAGCGGGCAGAACAGTCAAAGAAGCCAACGGCGCCTTCTCCATGACAACCAGCAGCATGACGATGGAGGTGATGGCAGTGACACAAGCGCTTGCCTGGCTTGAAACACAAAAATACACCCGCGTGTGTATACTCAGTGATTCAATGAGTATGATCCGGAGAGTTCAGGCAGGTTCAGTGCGAAGACAATGGCTTGAATCATTACAGAAGTCCACTGTTCGTGGAGTCACCTTTATTTTTGTTCCGGGACACGCAGGCGTCGATGGAAATGAAAGAGCTGACAGGTTGGCTGGATCCGCTATCACTACCGACGGTCAGCCTATGGATCATGCTGATATTATCAATGCCCTCAGAGAAATGGGAAGAATAGAGGACTTTGGTGGCAGTGAATCCACATCACTCGCCAGAATGGCAGACTTGGGAATTAAGATCGGCACAGCAAAAAACGAGACGCACACCAGCTACGCCAGAAGACTTGTTAATCAACATAGAACTGGTACTATTAGCCATCGGACGTTGGGGTTCATACTGAGGGGAGGATCTGAGCACCTATGGACATGTCCGGAGTGCAATGAGGATAACCCAACTAACTAACTAACTAACTAACTAACAAGTTTGGCAGTAAGAATTACCTTATTCAGACTGCGGAAAAAAAGATAGAGATGACTTTTTGGATCTCAAGGTCGGACTACGACCCGTCGTGAGAATTTATCAGTCCATGGATGTACGATCGGCTTGTGTTGGTGTGTTTGGATGAGTCTGAATTATTAATTGCATATTTTCTCCTTCTGTTGATCATTGTATATATCAATACACCCATTGGAACCTTTAAAGGGAGTTCTCGTTCCGCTACGTTTGGAAGCTTCAACATTCATCATGTTGTGTTACACTTGGCCAGTGGCATATTAAGTTGTTGATGCCATTTGTTACATTGCGACGCCCTTATTCACCTTTGGTACGCAGCCTTTACAGCACTACACACTGTACGCCAAGCTTTCGCTCGGCACACCCTGCAATCTGGCAACATGACAAGTACCAAACTAACCAATCAGCACTAGGATGACGGCCCTACAAACAACATGCAGAAAAAAATGTACAATGAAATAACAGCACGAACAGGAGATATAATTATTACTGATGCTATCTAGGAGAGGCTAGCTCCCTAGGTAGCGGTTGAACTTGATCAGTTTAAGTTCATGATGCTGATGACGTTTCTTCAAGGTCATGGTACATCTGTCTGAGAAGCAAGGAATCTGCAGTAAAAAAAAAAGCCAAAACAGTTGTTAACTCCAATGGACTGTCTTTGAACAAGGACTAAGGCCTGCTGGCAAGAAGATCTTAGGTTGATGACCTGAAACAAGGCTAAAGGGTACAAAGATAGAAGCCTAGCATAAACGTTTTACTAAATTTGTATATAGAGAAAACATGAAAAACAACCAAGGCAGTTACTAATAAACTACAAACATTCATTAACTGGTGCCAGAGTAGAATAGAGCGAACTAAAAGGTATTATGGAATCACTAAAATAGAGCTTTGGGGGAGAACTAAACAAATTCCAGTGGACCAAATGGTGAAGGACAGATGCTCGCGTTCGATAAGACACATGCTGAGAAAACCTGAGAACAGTATAACTAGAATGTCTTCGAACTGGAACCCACAGGGGCATAGAAATAAGGGAAGACCCACAAACATATGGAGAAGAGAGAGTGAAGTTAAAAGGATGGATAGGATATGGGGAGATCTGCTTACGATAACGAAGGCTAGAACGACTTGGCATGAGTTTGTTGAGAGCCCATGCTCCATTGGGGGTTAGAAAGGCAGAAAAAGAAATTTGAAAAGGGAACGGATGGCCGAATGTTTACTAAACCCTACCACTTCCTCCTTTTCCCTTTCGCCTTGAGCTTCCAAGTCATAGTTTATGTTTATAATGTATTCTAATTTTAGTACAAACTAAACATGTAGGTTTTCTTATTCTTTAAGCTTTACCAGCAGTGCAGTGGATATGTATACTTTACACCTTAACCCTGCATGATGTAGCGTAATTGATTGCTGTTGTTCTTTTTGCCTCTATTGAAATACGTTTGTACATTGATTATCCTTAGATAACCAAACATCATCGACAGCGCTGTCAAGTCTTCTGGTGGCCCCAAACACACAGATTACAATGAATAACACAGCAGGATCATTGCATGAAGGTAAACTGGACTGCACCAGCTGTTGTTGTTGCACATATGCACGCGAAAACTCACCAAAAATAAATGTGTATGTTCAGATATACATCGGCTCTGTGGCTAAGTCGATGCGAACGCTTTATAACGCCGGGATGCCGGATTCGATCCTAGCTGCGGGCCATGCACCTTGCATTGGTTTCGACAGTGGTATCAAGAAAGCCGACAGTCCAGAAAGCAATGGCAAACTACTGGACGTAAATTTGCCTAGAAAAACCACACAACAGCCAGAGCTTTTGGGGTTGGTTCTGCAACGTCCTGTAAAGGATACGCAACTAACCATTCAGATATACAGACAGACAAATAAAAACAACTAGGGAGGTGGGGTTGATGCACACCACACCTAGTGTCATCCCCGAAATTAGGAAAAGAGGGTGACGAAATGGCTAAAATATAGGTTTATGGGATGACAGGAAATGTTCCGCACCAGGTACCACCAGAATAAATGAGAACAAATAAGAGGACTCACATTTCAAGAAAACTTCCTGCAATTAGCATCATGTGTAAAGAAATTGTATGCATGTCACGGATGTCACATTGTATGTTTCCAGTGCTATTCTATGTTACACGACGTCACCGCTTTTAATGACCTCACAACATCTCAAACTGGCCCTAACCCCAAACTCCTACCCCACAAAATCAGCCTATGTCCTACGAGAGAGTGCAGCAAATGATGCATGGTTTCAGAACAGTTAATATTTAATGGCTGCTGCTCACAACAACGAGAAACACACAACGCAGAATTCTTTGCAAAGACAATACAACATGACACCCCTGTAGTATAGACTAGTCCGCGTGACAGGTGAGCAAGCATGAATAAAAGGTCAACCAGTGTGTATTTGGGCCAGAAAACCTTATAAGAACCCTTATTTTCAATGTATTGATCATCTTTCTAGCTGCCAGTTTACTTATATTATCTTCACAGGATTTCCATCAAGCTCAACAGATGGAGCTGTTATTGAGCCAATCGTCACAACTCTTCCATTACCCAGTTTAAACTCGACTTCCGGAGCGACAGCCAATCAAAACCTGGAACAACGATCTCCAGTTGGAACACCCCCAAACAGCAGCTCTCCTACAGCACCTTCCATGAACTTGACTATAGCTGTTAGCACGTAGCTCTTTCACATGTGGTATATGTCATTCATGCATTTAGTCGCTATTAAAAGTCCATAGTTTCCTTGTTTCATTAACAATTAATTGTTGCCTTTTATTATATTGATTACTCTAAGTCAGGGGTGGGGAGTATAAGGCCCATGAAATCATTTGGTAAACCTCTACCAAGTCAGCTGATATTTAAATGTTTGACAATTATAGCAAGTCTATTTTTTAAATTGGTTAGTTGAAGTTGTTAGTATGTTCGTGAATGTTATAAAAATCCATATGGTTGTTTGCAGAAAGAAAAACAAAAGATTCCCCACCCCTGCTAAAAGTGATCAGTTACTTATGAATGTTTGTAGTTTACACTTTACACACCCTAGAAATATAGAAAATTCTGGAATGTTATGGTTTGTTTTCTTTAAAATTCACACTTGCCGGAAAAGAATATTCCATGCTATATATTGAACACATTTGTCTCAGATAATCAATATGTGTGTCCACTGATGGTTAGGAAACATTTTGAAGAATATTATTCTGGTTGTAAATTAAAAACCTTAAATTTCTTATAACTCATAGCAGTGGTTCACAGTTGGCTAATACCTGCTGACCCCCCCTTTTTTTTTTAAACGTCTGATGCCGACCTAATATTTTTTTTAATCTGTATACTGAAGAACTCATTATAATTTATAAATTTTAGAATCACAGACATGATTGCATTCTAAATTAAAAGATTTTGTTAACTTTATTTTTTTGGGTATTTGTAAATTATATCAGCATTTCATATCGTCCGGGAACCCTCTTGGTGCCGAGTTCCACCAGTTAGGATACACTGATTTATAGTGCCAAAATGAAATGGCAGTATTGCATTGGTTTGGCACACTGTCTGACCTGAGGTCAGGTATTCGAATCTCCATTGAAGCTGGGACTGAAAAATGAAACTGAAATCTGTTCTAAAAGTTGTGCCCTCAAACTTTAACAAATATTTTAAAAACTCCTGTATGAATCAACACACGTTTGCATGTGGTCCTAGATTTTTTTCATGTCCTTATGGTTAAAAATTTCATAATTTCACAGGTGCTGCTGTGATCATAAAGCTGTGAATTTCTTTGATCTTTGTTGGACTGTCAATATATGTGCCCCTAAAAAATAAAACTGGGTGCTACATTTGGAACAGACTTAAGGTCGAGTGATCTATAACAGTTTGCGTCATGCCTGATGCTCCACTGACATAAAAAGGGTCTGTTTCTAAACTCTTATTCTCTGATTATCTGTGCATGCGGGGCTTTATTTACTGATTTGCCCAAGGGTCCACAATATTGTAAAGATGACAGACTGATCTCAATGCTTATCAATTCCTGTTAACTTGTTGCTATAGTAATAAGTCAAAATATCTTTAGTGTAGATGTTAGAGGAAATCCTCAGATAATTCACAGTAAATACGGCATAGATTGCAAGGCAGTTTTTTAATACTTTCCCCCTCCCCCTGCCCTCACACCCCATATTTGGCCTCTGAGATTTCAGCATGAAGGTTCGATACCTGGTGACTCAATGAGCCACTGGATGCCAGTCCAACACGAACAAATCCCATCTGTAAAAAGGCATTTTTAGAGCATCGCACTTTTAAAGGAACTTTAAAGATGAGCCTTTTCAGGGGACCTTAAAAAAAACGCTTTAAAAATATCTGCAACTTTCAGTCGTACAACTTGTAATTCTTGGTGTCCCTGTGTGGGCTCACTTGTCCCATTGGAGTGGGGGGAGGGGGTGTGGGGGGTTAGACCCACTGCCTCCTCTTCATAAAATGGGGGGTGTTCTTCAAAGTCAAGAGAGAGCCTGGGAGTTAGCAACCAAGAATCTGAACATTAATAAGGCAGATCTGTAAAACTGATGTTATGCAAAACTCAAACTCTGAAACAAGACCAAAGTCCTGAAGTCAAGGAACAACCAGAATCTTCTTCTGGAGGTACAGCCAGTGAATGCTAAGGAAATGCTGAAAATAATCTGACCATATAGGGAAACATTTGTGTAGACTTCAATCAGGGTGTTGCTTTACTGACCCCACATTTTTGAAGGCAGATGTGGCAGGGATCTCACCTGAGCAAGACGTGGAATTCAAACTTCAGTAAAGTGATGGTCATATTTTCTGGCAGAAACAAAATAGAAAATCCTAACCTGCATTGTTCATGGCAACTGGACTAGCTATGAAAACCTGATTTGAGTTGAATTGAGTCAAGAACTGACATCACAGCACTCAGGAAATTCCCATGTGGGCTCCGTCCTCATCTTCAGCAGCCAGGGCAGAGTTCCAAAACTGATGGTACCAGTCACAATCTGGTTATATGTCTGTCTTGCCTTTTTCTGAGTGTAGTCAGCCGGCCCGACCCTCTGGTTACACCCAGGTGCCTCATTCTCTCTAGGCCATAATAATCTTGTTACTCTACTGATTCCGTTGCTTGTTCCCAGAGGCCCTTGACAGAGCCTATAAAGCCCTGAATCCATGGACTCTAGATCTACCCTGTACTGCATCACCTTTGGAAGTTGTAAATACAGACTGTACAGTTAGCCTAAAGAATGGTAACTGCATCATATTAACTCTTTGAGTCCCAAGGAACGCATCATACGTTCATATGTTCCTTCCAATGAACGCATGATGCGCCAATTTTGTTACTTTCTTTACTACTCTTCTGGGCCTGTGATGCTAAACCCCCTGGGACTCAAAGAGTTAAGCATGTCGTATAAAATGATTAATTGCAAAAAGTTTCAGCTGCAGAATACATCTAGTGGTGGACAAATCTGCACTGTTTGGTTCTGGTTCATTGCAAAGTTGTGTTTCATTGGGTGGATAAACAGAAGATGAACGAACGAACAAACTTTTTTTTCAAAGGGTTACAAACTGGGCCTAGCAGGCCCGTCTTACATTCAGCCCTTTGAAGCACCCAACTTTCACACAGCAGTGATGAAGAAGGAGGAGGAGAGGAAGAGGAGAAGAAGAAGAAAGACAAGAAGAAGTGATAGATTTATTTAGGTGAACAGAGCTTCAACCCGAATGGAAAAAAAGTAAAAGAATTATTATAATTATTTTGTAAGCAGTGTCAACTTTCATGTTTGTTTGTGTTATTAAGAAGAAGAAAGAGGAGGAGGAAAAGAAAAAGAAAGTGAAGAAGAAGTGACAGATTCAATTAGACAAATAGAGCCAAATGACAAACAGAAGTAATATGATTATTTTGTAAGCAATGTCAAATTTCACTTTTGTTCATGTTACTAAGCAACTATAAGCAACTTGTTTCACTATAACTTTTCACAGTTTGTATATCTATATCTGTATTAACTGCTCATTGGCACTGGGATTCTTTGCTAACCATATGTACACAATAACCAGTCATCGAACTTTTAAGGGTTTACAGCTCAAATTTGTTAGCATCCTTTGAATATATTTGGTGTCTTTTATCTACCATTTCTTAATGTCTTCCAATGATTATATATGTTTAGTTTATGAAAAATTGATATCATTGATTGAATGATGCATAATTTGATCTCTGATTCATTTGGGTTGATTGGTTTTTTTTTTGTTTTTGTACTTCACATACAGAAATGGTCTTAAAATTTTATTTAAAATAATTTGTAATACAGTATTGCTGTTAAAGCAGTAAAATCTCGTTAAGACAGATTTCAAGGGGCTGAAAAGTGGAGAGTTCGTGTTAAAAAATATTTGTGCTAGCCAATGACTGATATATTTATTAATACATGTACATCCCTGTTGGGACCAACATTTTGTTTGTGTTAACTGGGGCTCATTTTAAGCAAGTTTGTGTTAACGAGGTTTGACTGTATTACTTTAATGAAGCACACCCCAAAATGCCATTACATTGTATTTTACAGATAGAAATTATTCTTTTCTGTAATTCCTAGTATCTTAGAAAATTTGTCATTGACTCATACGCTTCTAGTCTAGTTTTGTTTAGCCAGGTGTCCATGTTAATATTTCTGCCTAATCTTATTTTTTTTTTCACTTTCTGTTTGTGTGAAAAGGACTTTCTCAGCAATTTCAGTAATAAAAGCCAACCAGGAAAATCTTGTGAATGTTATTGCAGCACTTCATCTATCCAGCCACGTATGTCAGATTTTCTAACCTCAAGCCTGCACAGAAAACCACAACACTGGACTACAACCTGATATCAGTAAGATGACAGAAGAAGAAGAAGAAGAAGAAGAAGAAGCCTGCAGCAGATGTCACATGAGTTGAAAATTTCAATTTCATGACCTTGGATTTAACAAGTAGATTGCTGTCTATATTCTGTTTTTTTTTCTGTGTTTGGGGAAACTGTCAGATGGCCCATGAACCAATTTCCCAAATGTTGGTGGTCCTTGTATGTAAACAGATTGAAGAACACTGCTTTAGGCTAGTGCGGGGAAAAACAGAACTAACATAGTGTTTGTACATCTATACACTGATGATTTTGTGAAAAGCCTCCCAGTAAACTTACATTAGTAACTAGGAACCACACAAACTTATTGTAAACCCTATTCAGAAGCGCAAAAACCATGGGTAGGGGGGTAGGAGGGAAGGGGGGGGGGGGCGCCTAATACAGCTGCTGCTGCCTTCCCGCCTAAAAAATATCCCCTCCCCCCAGACATATTGCAAGAGGGTAGCCTCCACCCCTGCCCCCATACCCCCTCCATAAAATGTATAACAGTTTTCTTTGTTGGCATGTGTTTATATAGTTCAGATTATTTTTAATATATTAGTACATTGTTTGCAGTTGAGCACATTATTATAGCTATCATCATCACCATCATCATCATCACCACCATCATCATCATCATTACCAGGCATTTAAACAAAGCTTAGATCCTTAAATGCCCCCTTGAAAATGTGTAAGGGGGCTGAGTTCTTTCTTATAAGTATTTCTGTATATAGTTTATATTATTTCAAATATATTATTATATTTATTTGCAGTTGCACAATACTTTTGCTATTATTATTATGCACTTAAACAAGGCTCAGCACCCCACCCCCTCCT